TGGAATGTTATACTCATTGATTTTCTTTTATTCTTAGATAAAAATATATACTTACAATTATGAAATATTTCAAACAGGTAGTAAAGCATAGAAAATAGTATAATACCCATGACACCTATATCACCATCACCAAGCTAAAAAAAAAAAAGTAGTATTTTGCCATATTTGTTTCATTTCTCTCCATCTTTGGAAAAAAGATAAAGCAAAATCCCTGCATCCTGTATCTTCCTATTTCTTTTCTCCCTAGAATTATCCACTATCTTAAGATTACTGATTATCCTGCCCACATGATTTTACTGTTTAACCAAGTAATTAAGTATCTACAACAACTATATAATAGTTAGCATGTGTTTAAATGTACATAAATTGTATTATACTGTATATATCACTTTGCATTTAATTTTTTCATTCAACATTGTTATCTATTTATCCATGTTATCTACCTACAGATATACTGATTTATATACAGTTCATTAATTTTAAATTCCCTTATACTATTTCTTTAGGGATAAAACATAGTTTATTGATTTACCTTATCTATGGACAGATAGGTTATTTATATTTTTTAAATAACAAAGGTGCAATAAACACCTTTTCGCATGTCTCCTTGTCACCATATGCAAGAGTTGCTCTAGAGTAGACATTCAGACATGGTTTTGTTGAATATGCTCATCTTCATGTTTGCTACATATTCCCAAATTTTTTCCAAAGTGGTCACATTAATTTACTTTTACTAGCAATGTTAAAGCAGTGCCTTCTCCATACCCTCCAATACTTGACATTATGAGAATTTATTAATTGTTGCCAATATGAGGGTAGTAGAGTGGTAACTAACAGTTATGCTTAGGTGATACTTTCCTGAGGTCTCTTCTAGTCATATAATTGTGGTCATCACATCAATGCCAAGTCTCATCAAAATAATAAAATAAAGGATGTGGAAAAAACATTCTTCTACATTTTACAATGAATTTACTTTTCCTCAAGAAATGTCTTACATGGCTAAAGCTGGCCCATGAACCCATAAATCAGGCCATAAAAGAGGAATGGGGACATGGCCCCAGCTCTGTATTTATTTTCTTGTATTCCATAATCCAATGTTACTTAAAAAGCAAATGGCCCAATATTCAAGCCAAAGCAAATACTCTGGATTTTGCCAGGCAAAATGCCTGTGGAGAAATGAGTCAATTCATACAAAATTCAAAGCTGTCTTTGGTCAGTGACATTTTCGTGAAAATCTGTGGGTGGGTAAAAGTTTTGCAAAATTCCTTTTTGATATTGGATAAAATTCATCCAGGAAAAATAAGCAAAATTTAAGTGGCGACCCTCATTCCTCCTAATTCCCTTATTAACACTCCCTAACCTCCAGCACAACTGCTTTCTATTGTGCACCAAGGCAAGCCTCAGTGTTTCTGATCCTGGCAAGAGAATTCTGTCCCTCTGCTCACTCTGCTCTGATCAGACAGGCTTTCTCATGAGAAGTACTGGCAGACAGAGCGTGCCTGATCTCATTTAGAACACACCTCCCTGGGAACGCTACCCAGGTGTTGCACATTCTTCAACTTAATGACAAAAAGATCTATAGCAAAAACATTCTCAGTATGCACTCTGTTAGAACGATGACTATGGCTACTGTTAGGGATGCTGAGTGTACATCTATAGTTCAGAGTTATACTTTATGTCATCCTTTTAGGAACACAAAACAAGGATTTGGAAAAGAAACTAATTCTAAGGCTCCATTATTTACTCTGACTTGAGAATTTGAAATCTTACCTCAGAAAAAATGTAACAGAATTCAGCAAAGTTATACCTGGGAATGCTCAAAAGTTTTGATAATTCTGAGATTCATCAATGTTGAGGCACCTACATGATCTGGCACCTACAAATGCTTTATTAGTAGACAGAAGTGAATGGACTCAGGAATTTTTAATATAATATTGCCATATCTCAGTTTCTGATTTCACTGAGGTCTGTCTGCCTGCTAAGACCTTTATTTCTCAAGGTCTTTGCCATTGGCTGGGAATATCTCTGTAATCAAGGCCAAGACTAGGAAGAGAGCAGTTGGTTTGGCTTTCCACAGAAGCAATGAGAATGAGATCTACAGAAGGATGAAGTTGTTTGGGTGGGAAAGAGAAAAGAAACCATTTTCTTCTTCCAGTAAGTTAACCAAATAATAAATTAACAATCCTCCCCCAGTTCTGCCACCTAGAATCCTGGGTGATCTGAATCCCAGAGTTCTGGGTAAGGCTGAGGAGTTACAGTCAGAGATTCTGAGAATGAATTCTCCCATGCATGAAAGGAATTTGGCGTCAAGGGAGGACACCAGTGGTAGCCTCTTACTGCAAGCTGTCACTGAATAGCCCTTTCATACACACTACTTTTACCATGACTTCCAGAAGCTCATTGTGCTGCCTGTAGTCATGGTCACTGAACACAATTGGGTCATCACATCTTTCTTGGGTCAATAAGCTAAGTGAGTGAAAATGATGACTAACCCTAACTATGGTCCACAGAAAATTAACAGCAGTTAAACATACATAAAACAAAAGTGGACTGGGTCTTATAATTTAAACTGCTCCTAGCCTTTGCAGCATGTGACACAGCCACAAAAACCCAAAGATCATTTCATGTCTCCAAAAGAATGTGGTCATTCTACTTGGCAAGGATCTTGAGCTTTGAATCAACTACCATCAGCTTCCAAAGAAGTGGGAGATGAAACATTTCAGTTTTAACAGTTCTTTGCGTCTGGATTCCAAAAGTGTACGGACTGGTTTTGCAAAAGGGAGAAAAGTGCATCTCTTTCAGATGGGCAACCACTTTAAGCACAATGTCTTCTCTCTGTGGACTACAATTTGAAAGGACTGCTGAACTTTGACAGCAACATTATTTGCTGCAGTTAGCTTTAACTGTATAAATCAAGCAGATGACATGTAGCAACATTAAGTTTTCCAAAGACACAATGCTCATGATATGTATGTTTTATATGAAAATGTATGTCTTCCTGCTAAAAATACATAGTCCCAAGAAGAGAACTGCAGCATTAGTCAGCCCCTAAGAAACCCTGTTTTGTACAAATACATTTGCATTATAATGTGTAATCTAATGCTTTATGATTCTAGATTTAATATGTTATTAAACCTAGCAATCTAAATTTTGCTAAGATTCCATATAGAAGTGGGGAGTAGGCAGACTAGGGGAGACAGAAATCGCTTCCCATTCCCACCCTGAATAATACCTATGGAGAGGTCTGCAAACATTCACTTCTCAGCTTATTCTTTCACTGAAGTATTTCTATTTTTAATAGTCATAATACACTTTAGCGAAAGTCAACTTTATAAAGTTCTATGCCTTTTCAAAATCTGAGAGTAGTAGGGAAATGAGGAAATCCTATTGCACAAAAATTAATTTTGCAATGCAAAAAATATTTTTTGGATAATTCAAGCCATTATGTTTATTTCAGTAAAGCCAAATCCAACAAACTATTTTCAGCCAGGATTAGTCAGAACTAAAAGGTTGGACTGTTTTCCTTCAGAGACTGAATATCTTTCTTGCCTGCAATAGGCTGGTGTGTTCCAAACAGAGTAAAAAGAATTGCCTTCAATTGCTTGTCTCTTTCTTGCATTTTTAGTGCAGAACCTTACCAACAGAGTAAGGTTTTGCTGGCTGGAATGTAATGATTCTTTTCACTCATATAACCTGGCATTCTCATAACGTATCAGCTTTAGGTTTTCCTTAAGAAAAATCACAACATGGGGCATAATGTGATGACAAGAAATGCAATTTCATTCCTCAAGAAATTCTTAAAACTCTTTCAAAAATACCTAATGGATGGTGAAAAAGTGCTTCTAATACTTGTCTTACAACTATCATGTTTGTTTACTTTTACATGAATCAGACAACTTAGCTAATCTACAGTCAACCATAAACATGGCTCAGATTCTTTATCATCAAGATAAATAAGTTCCTTTTCAACATGATTTATATATTTTACACATTTAGTGACCTGTAGCATATTCAATATCCAAGGAATATCTACAATTCTCAGATTTTAACTCTAAAAGAAATATTTCTGTCCATCTAAACTAATGTAAAACACATGCTCTTCTTTTTCAAGAGTTAAGTGAGCTGTCTGAGATTGTGCAAACTTGCCCTAGGATCCCAAGGGTGATGTCTTGCTTGTAAACCCTGAGGGTTTCTGTTAGGTGCAAAATGGTCATGCAATCATTTAAAAATCGTATTATTCAAAAATAGTAAATTTTGCCAAGAAACAGAGATAGTTCTAGGATTGATGTTATGAAAGGTGGAGGCAGGGGGAAGGAGACACCATGCCCACTTCAAAGGCACAGTCCCCTCTGGGTTCCTTCTCATTATAGATTTCCACCAAATTCCTTCTCCTTAAAGTTCAGTGAGATCCTGTGAGATTCTGCTCCTGTGGTATTCCTGAGTATTTTCATGCTGGCTATAAAGCATTAACTAGTCTTACAGTCCTGGAGTTTGCAGTGTGCAGGCATGTGGGTGTATGCAGCAACATTTTTACTAGCCAAGTTGCTAAGTGTGAGTTCCTCTCCAAATATCAGAACCACCCCTTTAACCCCAATGCTCGCCTAGTTATTGGAGGGAAGGGAAAAATCACTGAATATTTACTTTGGAAAACAGTTAAAGTTTGGTGGTGGTGCGGTGTGTGTTCCTCTGCCTCCACTTTTCAGCAACTTCAAGTTGGTGCCTGGTAGGAATCAATTTTCCACGATTTTGGACATGGTGGCAAACGAACCTCCCCTGATTATGTATATTTGCAGAAGAGAATCTAGAAGTAGAGAGATATCCCAGCCACTAATAATTAAAGAAATCTTCCCCTTCCTCAGGATGTAGAGGAGTCAAATCTCATGGATACCTAGACTCCCTGCATCCAAAACTCCACAAAAGAAAATGTTCCCTGACTTGTGGTCACATTTGGAAAACCACATGCACCTTTAGTGAACTGCAGTGGGCCCTAGGAGACTCACCGAACACTTGTTGGGCTTCTCCCCGGAGTGGACTCTCATGTGGATCAGCAGTTTATAGCGGGCATTGAAAGGCTTGTACCTTCGGGGACAACCGGCCCAGAAGCACGTGAAGTCTTCCCCTTTGCGCTGGTCTATGTGAACCTTCTCTATGTGCCGCACTAGTTCCTCCTGCTGGTCATACAAGGCGCTGCAGTCGATCCAGCGACAGCAGTGCTTGCCTCCTACGTCATCCATCTCTCCGTCCTCCTCCAGGGTGGCCTGAGGCAAGGCCAGCGGCTGGGCGTGGTGGGCCAGCTCTGGGTGATGCAGATGTGGGTGGGCGTGGTAGGGGGGCGGGGGGCCTTGGGGGGGCGGTGGCAGAGGTGGCAGAGGTGGGGCCGGGGGCAGGTCCAGGGCGCCGCCCGGAAAATCATCCAAACGCTCAGTCTTCAGCAGGCTGGCCGGCTGGCTGTCGGGGTCCGGCAGGCCGTGCTGCACCACCATGTTGTTGACCAGGCCGGGCGGCAGGCCGCCGTGCTCCAGCTGCTGCATGCGCTCATACTCCGGTGCGCCGTCCTCGCCATAGGCGGGGAGACCCAGGCCGCCGCTGGCCACGCGCACACCCTTCTGGCTACTTGGCACCGAGCATGACTGGGGAATACAGCTGCCGCGCACCCCTAGGAAATGCCCATAGACTTCAGGTTGTGGGGACATGTTGGCGGGGGAAGCCCTTGACCCATTGATGTAGGCGACCAAGGACGTGGGTGAGGTGCGGATGATGGCATTGAAGTCTATCCCAATGCCATCGGATAGCGGGGACAAGGACAGCGCTCTCTTCTTGGAACGAGCTGAGTGGGACCTGGCCGAAGAGTGCCGGGTACTAGGGTATGGAGAGTGGCTGTTTTCCATCCCGAAAAGGTAGGATGGCAATGAATTAGAGACACTGTTGCTGGACATCGCTGTCCCAGGAGGAAGGCTAAGGAGGTCCCCTAGATCAATTCCATTCTGAGAGCCGTGGTTGGAGGAGAGCGAAGGGAGAGCCCTGTAGCCGTGAGACCATTCCTGTTTCACACTCAAGGCCGACTGACTTTCAGTCAGACTCAAAGTCGAGGACGCCAAAGATTCACGCGATATAAGGGACCTGGAACAGCAACCAGAAAAGGGGGGGAAAAAGACAAACATTTTAGCAGGATATGGATTGCTTAAGAGCTAAAAGAACATTGCATTGACAATCCCTTAAGTATTTCCCCTAATTACATTCTCGGCTAAACACACATTCTTTGGCTAAGATAAAACCCAAGGCTTTTAGTTCCAGGTAAATACAATTTTACCAAGAAGAACAATAAAGGCCAATGCTCACTGGAATAATAAAACAAAAGATCTATTGTTATAATAATCTTAATACTTTAATGATAATAAATAGTCCTTTCTTTATTTTTAAATATCTTTTTAATACAGAAGGAAATTAGATACCTAGGAATAATTATTAATGCTTATCATGGCAAACCAAATAAGCAGGCATTTATTAAGTACCTACTGTGTGCAGCACACTACAAATAGGAATTGCAGGGACTGCAAGTCTAAACAGAGTCTGAGTCTTTGAGTGTAATCTATTTGGTGAGGTAAAATATAAATCTACACCTGATCTGAAAAAAAAAAGAAAAAGTAAATCTTCCAAGTCAAAGGGTCATCCAGGGGACCAAATAATAATTTCACAAATTCATTTCACTGAAACTAAGGAATTTTAAATATTTCTTTAAAAGATAGCACTTCACACTACAAGTACTCAGTCACAACATCAAAAATATATATATAATATATATATGTGTATGTGTGTATATGTGTGTGTG